CCCCCCCTGCCGTTAGCAGCCTCGGCTCCTTCCCCGCGCTCTCGCAGGGCTTTTACAGCCAAAGCTCTTAATGTGATTATAATAATTATTTCTTTCCTAGCTATTTTTTTTTTTTAATAAACAGTCTCTTTTGAAATGTCACTGGGGGAAGCCAAGACTCCAGCTGAGCCCTGGCCCGGAGGCAGGAGCAGGGGCTGGGGGAGCGTGCGAATGTGCGCGGGTGCGTGCAGGCAAGCACGTGTGTGCGGGAGCGCGCGGGCACCCATGGGGGCACCCTGTGGAGGGGGACTCCACTGAAGCATGCAAGCATACCCGGGGGCTGTGAAAACCTGGCAGTTCCCTGGGGACAAGCAGGCAGGGGTTCCTCTCCATCTCTCTCGGTCCGGGTGCCCCATTGAACTCCACCTCGCACCCCTGCTCTCCCACTCCTCTGTGTGGTCCCCCCCCAGCCCTGGGGCCGGGCTTTGAAATCTGTTGAAAAGAGACCCTTTTTGCCAAAATAAACAGCCTGTCATGTTAAATTACTCTCCCTTCCTCTCTACCTCTCCTGCCTGCGTCCCCCCTCCCCATCCCAGCGTTTTTGCCGGGGCCGTCGTGCTCTGGGCGAACTCCCAACTCTGATGGGAGGCTCGTGGGGCACATGGGTGCTGGCACTGGGGCCAGTGTGGAGCCGGGGCACTGGGGCAGAGCACCACCTACCTCCCGCATTCCAGTCTCCCTGTCCCCTGCTAGGTCCTCCACCCACCAGCTCTTTCTGCTGGGTGGTGATGGCATCTTGCAGGGTCCAGGGATCAGCAATGATGCTGTGCACAGTGTTCTACGGTGGGGTGAACTGGCTGAGGGATGCCAGGGGCTTACTGCAGCCCCTCACCCACCCCTGCCATGTCCAGTACTCCAATGCCCCTGGGTTTTTTCCTCTCTCTCACTTGCCCTTGCTCTTATTTTTGGGTTATTTTCTCTCTCCTGTTTCTAACGGAGTGAAAATTCATAGAACCATAAAATGCCGAGATGGAAAACGAGCGATTAGCTCATTCAGCCCGGCCCCTCTGCCAGTGCCAGGCCGTTCCCTGCCAGCCTCCCGGTGACTCGTCCAGACCAAGCACCATGCGCTACAGCCATGTCTTCCACAGCCTAACTGACCTTCTTGGTAGGAAATTGTCTCCCGTGTCTCGTCTCCAATGGTGATGTGCTATGTTTGAGCCTATTGCTGGGTTACACGTCCTGGCGCTGCCCTGAACATCCAGCCCTGTGCCGTGTCTGGCTGTGCTGCTTGCCCCCACACACGGCATGGCCTCGGGCAGGGCTCAGCCCTCTGGTGTTTTGTTGCTTCCTCTGCACTGGATGGAGCTTCTGCTGTCTCCCCACCACCCTGACCTGTGCCATCCCCTCCACATGCCAGCTCCTCTCCCTCCTGATGGATGGCACCTGCCTTGGCCTCCCACGGTGCCTGGCTTGGGCTCTCCCAGGGCAGCAGGGAGGGATGCCAGCAGGCATGGGGTGGCCTCATGCCCCACCACCCCCATGCAAAGGTCACAGCACTGGGTAACCTCCCCCGGGCAGGCAAAGTGCAGGCAGAGGCCAGACCTGCCACGCTAAGCTGCCTGCTCGGCCTTGGTGGCCATCCCCCTGCTTTGAGGGGGACCCCCCTTCTGCACCCCAGCACCCTCCTGCCGAGCTGCCCCCTGGCCGAGGAGATTGGGCAGCATCCAGCAGCACCTCCAGCTGCTCCCACTTCTCCCGGCTGGCCAGCTGTGTCGCCAGCTGTGTCGCCAGCCAGCACCGCTCCCCAGCCAGCTCTTCCTTCTTCTCCTGTGCCTGCAGCAGGGCTGCTGCCTGCGCTGCCTATGCCTGGCAGCAGCAGGGTAAGCTGCACCTCCAGGGCCTGCACCCTGTCCCTTGCCTGCAGGGGAGAGGAGGGGGAAGGGGAAGGGGAAGGGGAAGGGGAAGGGGAAGGGGAAAGGAGAGGGGAGAGGGGAAAGGAGAAAGAGAAAAGGGAAAAGAGGAAGGAGGATGGGGAAAGGGGAAGGGGAAAAGAGGAAGGAGGAAGGAGGAAGGGGAAAGGGGAAGGCCCTGGCCTGCGGGAAGGGGCAGAGAACAGCATTTTGCAGCACTCACTTCTTGATGGTGGCACCTGGAGGTCCACAAAGTGCAGGTGCCAAAGGCAGTGAGGAGCTGGGAGGGGTCACGTTGCACTCACTCCTCCTGGTGCCAGAGCTCTGGCAGTGATGGGAGCAGGACACCAGGGTTGCACAGCAGGGTCAGCCAGCACCATGCCAAGGAGGGCATGGTTCCCCCACTAGCACCAAGCCGCCCGGGGGGGACTGCCTCATCTCCCCACCCTGACGAGCCTTACCTTCCCATAGCATCCCTCCCGCTCACAGTTCAGTTCCTGTGTGACCCCCATGGCCTCCACCAGCATCCCTGCCAGGCGCTGCCTGAAGGACTGTCGTGGCTGCTGCCACAGCAGGAACTCCATCTGTGACAAAGTGATGCTCCTAGGGCACGCAGTGACCCTGCCAGCAGTGAGCCATGACCCACCACCCCCAGAAAAGCAGTGGCCTGTGTCTCTCTGCCCTCTTTTCCCCACATTGGGGCCTGGAGCGATCATCTCTCCTGCCTGACTTGGGCTCAGCATCCTCCAGGATGAGCCTGGACCCTTCTGATGGGGAGGGTGAAGCCCTCAGGAGCCCTGCTTCAGCAGCAGGGAGTCCTGCTGCTTTTGGCTCCTCTGTGGGATGCCAGCCAGCTTGTCCTCCCCATGTGGTGGAGGAGGGCAAGGCCGAGCTGCATGTACAGCCCTGGCCAGAACGGTGGTTGGCGTGGGGGACTGAGGGCCCCCTGCTCAGGTGGGGTGAAACCAGGAGTGTAGGGCTTGGGTAGGGAGACACAGTGCCTGTCGCCCACTGTCAGCGGTTTAAAATCTGGCTGGGGCTCCCCAACCCTGGGCATCCCCAGCCTCCAGGCGGTGAGAAGCCTCGTGTGGGCTCCCGCTCACCTCCGTGGCTCGTGCTGCAGGCACATGAGGATGCTCTGCAGGTTGAATCTCTGGCCCTGCTCCCTCTTAGAAGCCAGCCGGCGCTCCCCACTCAGCTGGTGGAAAGACAGATGGTCATGAGGGACAGACCCCTGCATGGAGAGTGGCTCCTCAGCCACACGGGACTGAAGGAGGCACAAGGACGAACTGGAAACAACCCCAGGGAGATCCAGAAACCTTATCTGGGCTATATAAAAGGGCCATAAAGAGCCGGAGCCACAGGAGGTGGGAGGACTGGCCCTGAACCCCATGGCTCTCTCTCCCCTCCCTGGAAGTGGTCCCAGGGCCGCATGCTCGGCTGTGACCTCCTTCCCACACCAGTTCCTGCTGCCACAGAGCCTCCCCCACTCCCTTCCCTGCTCTGACCAAGGGCAGGAATGGTTTGCAGGGAAGCCTGGGATTACTGAACTATGCTGTCCTGCTGGGAGAGCCCTGCCTTCCGTCCATGGGCTGTAATTATTAAGAGCTCTGGCTCAGGGCCTGTGAAGCTGGGGAACCTGCCCCAGGAAGGGCATGGCATGCACGCCCCTCTCCGGGATTTGTGGAAGATGCTGGAGGACTGAGGGTAGGTACGAGGGTACAGCCAGAAAGGCTGTGTGGAAACAACAGCCAGTCTCTGCCCAGTTGTGGCCAGAGCTGTCCTAACTCAGGGCAGCCCAGGGGCTAAGCCTGTCCCAGCCAGCTTTTGGGAGGCGGAAGGTGACCAAGACCCCGCTCAGATCGGAGCATGCACCCAAAACTTGCCTCAACAGTATCTGCTCCTCCTGGCGGCAGCCAGGCTGAGGACCGCAACCTCTGTCGCCACGGCCCGCTCCCACCCCGCTGCTCAGGGGTTTTGGGCAGAAAGCGCCGGTTTGCGTGTCCCCCAGCACCGTAACCAGGCAACCACGCCGTCGGG